TGGGGGAAGAGCCCAGCTGTCCCGCAGTCAGGCTTGGCACGATTGTGCAGAGCTCTGTTTGACCCCACCGAGACCCCCACCCACCCCGAGCTCAAGCCAAGGCAGCCCACAGTCCCGCGCTCATCTCTCCGGGCAGCCCGACTCCCACCAGGGGCTGAACACAGCCGGACGTGTCCCGTGGGGAGAGCACCCCCTGAGGCCCCATGCAGAAAAGGCAGCAGTAACGCAACAGCAGTGGACTTGAGAACGCTTTATTGGCCCCCAGCATCACTCCTGTGCTCGGACCCGTGGCAGGTTGACGTAGCTCTTCATGGGCGGGAGAGGCTTGATCTTGCGCCCGGCCCAGCCACCCTTGCGATGCCACAAGCCTGTGTGCGGGCGCTTGCCCAGCCAGCGGTTCCGGCCCGCCTTCCCAATCACCCGCTTGTTGTGGTTGATGTTGGACACACGGCCCACCGTGGCCACGCAGGTCTCCAGCACCTAGGGGACAGAGAAAAGCTGCAGGCCTCCCTGGGGACACACAGCTGCATGCTCAGGCAGCCAGGTCAGGGACAGCGTCACTCCTCTACCTGCATATGCCTCTTAGAGGGCAGCTGCACGATGGCCGTCCCATTCACTTTCCTCAGCAGCACCCCACAAGTCCCTGCAGCAGGCAAGAGGAGAGGAGGCAGCTGCCCCGCGCAGCAGGACAAAGTATCCCACTCTGCGGCGAGCGCAACCCCGTGCTGGGAACTCCTCAAAGCCCCTGCCATTGCCCTTTGTGCAGCACTTCTTCCTGGAGACAGGACCCCAAGGCATCACCAGGAAACAACAGGGCAGAGCTGCCCCCGCCTCTCTGGAGGGCTGTCTTGCACCCTAACACGGGGAGAAGGGAGGACAGCAACTCCCTGTCACTGGCCACCCAGAGCGGTGCCCCCCGCCCTCCTCTCCATCTGTGCCAAGCCAAACCCGGCTACAAACGGTGGGTCCCCTGCCCAGAGACGCACCAGCCGCCCGGATGTACTGCGCTCCCTTCCCAGGGTGGCTCTCCAGGTTGCAGATCAGCGTGCCAACAGGCAGAGCCCCCAGCGGGTAGGCGTCCCCTTCGTTGGCTGACACTGTAAGACAGAAGCTGATGAGTTGGGCAAGGAGCAGCCGACGAGCCCCTGGCAGGGCCGGCACAGCCGCCCCTGGCCCAGGCGTGCACCTGCCATCCTGCCAATGTGAGAGGAATTCTTGATGATGTCCCCCGGCTGCATGTTCTCCGTGGCAATGATCCAGCGCTTCCGGTTGCCGCCGGCCACCAGGGCGATGTCAGCCGACCTGCACGGGGAACCCACGGTGGGTGGGTG